CAGTAACCATTTATTTTCTAAGAGATCTGCAAATAGAGATATTTATTATTATGAATGTAGACTTCACAGACCGGTATTCTGTAAGAGCTCTGCGATGTTATTTTCCACACACTTTTCAAAGTAAAGACGATATTAATAGTATTAGTATGATTAACATAAGCTTCACAGGCCGCATTTGTAAGAGCTCTGTGATGCTATTTTCCACAGACTTTCTAAAGTAGAGACGATAGTATTTTTAATATTAAAGAAGGCTTCACGACCAGCGCTCTTTGTAGGGACTTTGCGAATATATATATTTTGTACTTTACCTGGCACTCACCACTGTCACCGTGCAATGAAGGCGCGCGGCTGCACGGTCATTGCGCTATCTGCTCCCGTGCACCGCATCCGACGAATGCATGTGCGCACGATAGATAATTGTTTTAGTCAATTTATACTGCATGATAAGTATGTATTTGTTTGGAAATCTGATAATAATAGATTATAACAAAGCCAAATAGTAATATTTTAAAACATTTTAATATTTTGCCTAATAATAAATACCAGCCTTACAGTACCGTGCTATTGGCTAATATTTGGACGAAAGTAATTGGTTAAACAATATATTTTGCTAACATACTCACAGTTTGCAAAATGGTGGGCCCTACGTGCAAGCAATGGGAGGCGAAGATTGACCCGCTTCTGCTGAACCCGCAGCGGTCTACGACGGACCCCCGAGCGCGCTGCGTCTGCTGCGGGAAGCTGCAGTACGGCTACGCATTCCGTACAATCAGCGGGCGGGACATCGTGCGGCGCTGTATCGCCTGCGAGGACCGCCCCAAAAGCGGCTGAGTTTTGGGGAGGACCCCCCCCCCCCCCACCACCACCTGATTCGGCCGAAGTGCGCCGCCAGGAAAGCCTGGCGAACGTCAAGAAGGCGATGGGTACCTCAAGAAGAAAAATAGGCACAGCCGCCCTGGCAAGCTGACCGCCCGAAACGTCAGGTACATTGAGCAAAAGAAGCAGCAGAAGAGCAGGTGATTTGGATATGCATCCTTATAGCCCCTTACCCCGCATAGTTTTGTTTACTGGCTGACGGTGCAAGGCTTGGAGCCGCACATACGGTAAACTGACTATGGCGCTGTCAATAATGTTGACGCACCTACAGAGCGTAGCGCGTTTCATAAAATAATTAGCACATGGAATCAACTGTGCACCGCTGCAAATTGGTGGTTCCTATCCGCATACGCATCACCGTAGATGGCACGTACACTCGCTCACGTGGGCACACGCAAAACCATGTTATCTGTACCATCAGCTCTTATAGCGTATATTGCACTAATTGGCGCTCGCAAATTTAAACTACAGTATTGAGTGGGAACTACGTGCGACGAATAAGCTGCTGTTTACATAGATACTACCACGCGTGACAGTGCAGACCGTACAGATGGACGTGGCAAGTCGATGTGTCTGAATGCAATATTGTACTTTAGTGTCCTGTTCATAATGGCCGAGATGAGAGCTCGGTTAAATCGCGGACGACTATAAGTTGTACCCGCCTCGCGCGTATATATCGCGTTGGCTACTGCTAACAGATGCGCGTTCAGCATACCTGTATCGCTGCGGAATGGCCTGTGCCCAGCTAGTGACGCGCTTGATTATACAGACTGATACACCAATAGCGTAACCACAGAAAGCTAGCACGACGACACAAAAGTCCCGATAAAGAAACAGTGACCCCATACATAGGTTGGGCTATCACGAGCGCATGGCAAATACACTCATTAACGACCTTACGATATATGCACGGACACATCAAATAGCACGCCGAGCTGATAAGTAAGCAGCAAAAGTACTTCATATAATGTACATGAGCTACTATTTGAATCAAGTCTAAGATATCTACGATCTGATAATCTGCCAACAGCCATGTGGCTTCGTATGTTCGTCATACATATCGGAGCCAGTAAATGTCACTCGAAAGGGTCTACGCCACTCTATCAGTCAGAATCTATGCAAATAAGTCAGTATGTGCAGCAGCTATGCAAGTAGAATCAATGCATGCGAAAGATAGTGGAAACACCCTTCAAAAATATCATAAAGAGCTCAGCAGAACAATTGCAACGCATAATATTGGTGTTTGTCGCGACTATCGGCAAAATGTACCTGTCTTAAAAGATACTTCACGCGAGGAGCTGACTAAACCTTTCTCTAATAGACCGATCAATGATATGGTGTCGACTGCCTCACGGCGATGACGTGACAGATGATATTATGTTTGAGTGGACGTATTTACTCCAGCTAAACTGGGATTCCTCACCAGTCTATGCCAATTTGAATCATCACTGATACTGACATGTCCTCTGAACAGCATTTGTCAGCTTTGCAGCCGCGCACGCCTCCGATTCGTGTCATTTTGGCTCGGATGATTGCATCATATTGTGTGAACCGTGATCTTATCGTCGTAGCAACCTGCTACATGATACATTTATTGTACGGTGAAGACGTAAGCAAGGCCAAAGCCTCTCAATGAGGCAGCGTTGCACGGCGGCAACTTGTAAGCTTGCTGTCGAGCAGCGCTTTCTCTCAAATGATAAGCTTACAACACAAAAAATGAATGAATTGTGTCGACCGCTAAGCGATTGGTTTTTTGTGCTTCTTGTCGCTCACAGATTAGTTGATAGCCAGCGCGTGCCCGTTCGACGTCGGGTGTCCGGGGCCTTGACGACGTAGACCATCGCGACGTTTTTATGCTCGGTCCTCTGTACACGAGACGCGATCGTACAGGTCGATGTGACCGCGGGAATTCAAAGCGAACAAAACGTGAATGCAGCACGCAAATTTTTGATGGAACAGACACGAACATGAGTGTTCGCGGACGTTAACCTTCCACCCAGTCTCTAACATGCCTTGAGTTTCCATGCGGACAGTGTGATAGGCCAGTTGTGCTGAGGTGGGTAAGTCCTCGTGCCGGCGGCGCTGATCCTCATCGTAAGGTCTGCTCGCGGAGAGCGCACGGACATACACAATGTCGGGGGAGGTTGGATCGGCTGGCGGGTCTTCTAACATGAACGAAATGCTGTGCCTGCTGAAGACTACTTCGGCAAGCAAGGTATATCGCTCCATCTCGCGCACCCGACGGTGCAAACGTGCATCTGCCACAACTTTGGATGCAAACACAGACGTGCGTGCACCTTTCACACAGCACCAATCGAGAAACCGTTCCAGAAGCAGTCCCATCTTCAGTTTGAGATGCACGGTGACATCGCGCTTGAGGGCAGCGCTGTACTGCTCGGCAGACTTGCTGGTACCCAGAAAGCGAGTGGTACATCTGCCACCGCCAGAACTTCCCCGTTAACCACGTTGAATTAAACTACTTCAAGCATGGTGCCAACTCAGGCCAGGAAGCCCACTCAGCAAGTATAACTTTCTTGCTCTTCTCATAAGCTGCTTCGCTGACAGCAAAGCGAAGGTCAAGCATGTCCCGCAGGACCATGGCAAACAGAAAAGGGTAAAGGCCTTTAGCCCTTTCATATACCTTTTTAGCTACGTGAAAGTAGCGCATAAAGTGCACTAACGAGCTGTCATTCGCGAAAACCTTATTAACTGCGTTTCGTTGTCCCTTGTCTGCAGCAGACATCACAAAATGCACCGTAAGCGGCTTTCCAACGATCTTCTCCTATACTCTGCGCACAGCAGAAATGACCCTTGCGTAATGAAGCTGCTACTGCTGCGACATAATGACGATGGCAACTGGATGCAAACTTCGGGTACTGTCAGAGATTCCGGCCGCGAGAACCGGGTAAGAGGCTTGGCACAACTTGTAGGTAGCGTCAAGATGGAAGACAAAGGAGGTCAGAGATCGATCCATTCGTTGCAGGAGCCTTTTACTGGTCACTCCAACGAGGAAGGGATCATTGTCGCTGCCATTTACGACAATGGACAGAAGAGTCACTCTCCCACGTGAGCGTAAATGGCACCGCTGCCTCTTCATCTCCTGTGAATGCGACCTCGCGTATCTTTGCCTTTAATGAGGCCAGAATGTCATCGTTGCGCAAGTGCGAAGCAGCGTAGGTATGGACAAACCTCTGCACCACCGCGAGAGGTGGCAGGAATTCTTCGGCGAGGTTAAAGCACCTCAAAAACCCGCTACGAAGCCGTGACGGTTTCAGCCCTTGTGCTTCCCACTCACGCGCCACTTCCTTCATTGCGGCGGTTAGGCGAGCATGGGATGGGGAGGACGCAGGTGATGTGTGCGCGCCTGCCTCATCCACTCTCATTAGATTGAGGTGTTGGCAGGCGAGGGTCTTGCCACGTAAAGAGCACGGGGAGAAAGGCACGACTGCAGCGCATGTCGAGAAGTTGCAGGCCAAGAGACGAACACGCATAGCATGAGGTGATGCATGGGTGTACAGACCGCATGATACGAGGTGGCCCTTCGTCACCTTGAACACCTTCAGCGATTCCAGTAGCATTTCTGCATCGCTGGTCGGCATGACTGGGGTGATGGTAATCCAAAGGATCTTGGTGGGCATGGTTGCTTGGGAGGTTATGCGTTGGAGGGAGAAGGGGGGCTTGGTGCTGGGTGGATCGTCGAATGATCGAGAGGCGGTCAGGCACTACTACCGACGCTCAATTATGTGTGGAATAATTGGCTGAAATGATAGTAAATGCTTGTATTGGATTGGTTGTTTGCCGTAAAAGTGATACGGTTTTGTCGTTAGGTGGTATGGATAGGCTGAACGGTGGTTTCTGGTGTTTGGTGAGTGGCAATAGAGACATGTGAGTGTTTGAGTGCTACATGTACACTGTACTGCACGTATACGTCTGTTATATTTTGAGTGCAGAGTGGACGTCGTCTTCTGAAATCCATGAGTGATTAACTAGCGTCATGAGATTATCGTCGTTTTCTCTTATCGGTGGTAAAATATAACGTCAAGCGCTTGACGTTGCGTTCTAAAGCTCAAGACTCATCAGGTGCCGGCAAAGCAAAATGCACGCATGTGGCTCTCGATTTCCTTTTAGGAAATAAGCTTGAGCATGCTGAGTTCACCTGCCTTAAGCTGCCAGCTTCTTCGTCACTTCAGCGAAGGACTTACCCTGCGTAATTGCCAGAGCCAGTTCCACCTCCGACGGTTGACGAGAGCCGTCACTCTTGGCCAGTGTGCAGCGCCCCACGGAGAGCCACCGTGCATCTCGTCCATGTTGAGCAGCTCCTTGCCACGATATCCGAGAGGAACGTACGTCATACCCTGATGCGCCAGGAACGTCACCGCCGTAAACGCTGTCGTCTCCTGGCCGCCACCTTGAGTACCTGTACTGAAGAAAAGGCCGGCAGTCTTACCTACCAGCGCACCCGAAGCCCACAGGCCACCGCACGAGTCGAAGAACGCCTTTACCTGTGCCGGCATCGAGCCAGAACGACACGGGAATCCGAAGAGGATACCGTCGGCCTCCTTCAACGTGTCGATGGTGGCGATGGGGTGGTCTCCCTTAGGAGGAGCGTGCATCTTGGTCAGAACTTCTTCCGGGAGCGTCTCCTGCACCTGGTAGATGGTGGCAGCAACTCCGCCGACGAACTCAATGCCCTTCTTGGCAGCGTTGGCGAGCTTGGCAACGTGGCCGTAGGTGGAGTAGTACACGATGGCGATCTTGGTCATGATGGAAAGTTGGGGTTTGAGTAAAGCTGAGCAAATTCAGGAATGAAGACCCCTAATTGAGGAAATACCGAACAAGCATTGGAAACGGATTCAAGGACCAGCATCGGTTACCGTAATACGTTTCATCGATGTGCTTACAACTTCGCGCCTCGTAATCCGCTGACATAGCGCCATGAGCTGTTTACTTTTGTTAGATTGGAACGGTATGAAAGTTCTTTAACATGGGACGGATAAGGTAGCGATCCCGTGCAACTAGCGTACCCTAACCAATAGCGTACACAATCAGTCTGCATCTGACTATAATACGGTAGGGCTCAGTTCCGACAGAACACTTTAATCTGTTGAGAAAAAGTAACTATGTTAATTATTTCCGCTGCAAGGTGCTTTAGGGTGAAATGCTTACTTTATATTCAGTTTGACATCCTATTGCAGCACCTAGTCGACAACCGATGTTCGTGCGGGAGCTCGGAGCTGTAAGTTTGAAGCTAAAAGTTATACAGTGTCCTTAGGATTAAGCTAGACTTCGAAGCATCTCATGTGCCTTCTTCGCAGCCGCAGACTGCGTACATATAGCAATAAATAGGGGGTTCAGCTGGTCATTGTTTGGTTTCATTTCTTGGGCTCATCGTTTCGAGAAATAAGTATTCCGAAGCTCCTTTCTCGAAATTCATGACAAGAAATGGAAAACAGAAACTCCCGATTCGTTTTACAACACATTTATGCTACATGTATTAATAGTCAGAGTCACAGAAAATAAATGACATTCTTAACGTGATATTGCGCAACTATGCTGCTGATTTTTTTTTGTATTAGTTAGTTGACAACACGATATTTTCCGTTCTCAAGAAGCTCTCGTTGTTGTCGGGCCATAACAGGCCAAATACAAACGCTGCGACCATGTATGTATTGCCTCTTTTGTCGTCTCTCTCTCTCTCTTAAGCTAGCTTTCATCTGATTCGCAATTTTGTAAACGACTAGCTTTACCTTAAGCTTCACCTGATTCGCTTTTGCACTGCAGCTTTGCTGCAGATCTCAAACAGAAATATATTCATAATATCCTGTATGAATACGATCACTTGAGCTCATACCTTTGAAAGAAATTAGCAAGTTCGCCCAAGTGAGGCGCTGATCACGCTTACAGTAGTCTCTGTTTCGGACTTGTTGCCGCATTTTTTGCGACGATAATCAATCCTTCAGGTCCACTCGTCTAAACTCGTTGTCGATGACATGCCATTTCTCGAAAGTGCTTCACGCCAAGTTAGTTTTAGCTTTACGAGAAGATTTAAATTATTGGCAGAAGAATTAGTCTAATTAGCATACTTTCTAAGAAAAGGGATCATATTTGCCCGAAAAAAAGAGCCCTCCGAGCAACTGTACCAAATTTATACCCAGACTTGTGACAATATCGATGGATAGGCCAGAATAAAATGTGTGTGCCCCCCCCCATACCAAAATTTATCGGACCGGATGACCTTATCGGACCTGTACCAAAACTAGGGTACGCTATTTGAAAACCCTCAAAACCAATTTATTAGTTTATGTATTAGATATTGTGGCCCACACACTAAACATTATTATTTTACAGAAGGCGGGGAGGGAGATGGCGAGGGGCGATGACGGCGGCGGCACGTGTGACAGGAGGGTGGCGATGACGGCATGCAGCAGGAGGGTGGCGGCGGCGACAAGAGGGGCAACACCAAGGACAGGAAGGACAACAAAGACGGAAGGAGCGAAGGGGACAACAACAGCGGGCGGATCCTCAAGGGCTGTGGTGGCTTGCCCGGCAGGGCGGGCGGCAGGCTGCCCGTTGGGTGCGTGCCTGCAGGTGGCACTCCGAAGGGCGGACTTCGATGGTATCGTCGAGTCATCCAGCTATCAGCAGCGAGGATGCCGCCGCCAGGCCCCGTGCAGACCCCGCAAGATCTATTTCCCCACCCGGCAGGGCGGGAAGCATGCTGCCGGCCGATAGCCCGCTGGCGACGCACCAAGTCCAGATGCTTGTCCCAGCTGCTGGTCGTGTCGATGAAGAGCTCGATGCTCTCGTGTAGCTAGCGAGCACTAAATAATGTAAAACATGTATAAGTAATTGATGCAAATTGTCAATGTCTATTTAAAAACGGGTACAATAATAAGAATTCGCAATGCACCACCTCACGGAAGCTATTAGAAGTTACAAGTGTAGCTACTGCATCTCGTCAGCACAGAGGCTCTTAATTCCATGCATCATGTCGCCATTTAAGCGCTTTCGAGAAATTGCTACGGTATCAATACAACAAATTTTAAAAGCGCAAATGGAGTCGTTTGTACCGAAATGATTACGTGTTGATTGATATCATGTTGCCGGCGTCTTTAATTAATATATTTTTTTTCTGGGCGACATCCATTTAATGGAGAAATGTGTTTCCGGTACCACTAGTCGCGAAGGAATGAACAGCAAGAAGATAGCACGTATGTTACCCACTCAAGGAAAAAAAAAGAATTTTAAATCGCTCACGCATTAGCGAGGAAGACTCATGCAAGTGCTAGCCAATGCAATTTACCCATTAACTTGTCTTTTCACAATCCACACATATTTTACCGGTTTAGTTTTGGAGCACATAGGGGTGCCCATGATGCCACTTTTAGAAAGTGCCAATCTGATGCTAACGGTCTGCTAAGTCGTGAATTGATCGCGGGTTATAGTTAGAGAAGCTGTATATCACAGTTCACAGTGTTGCTTGGGCAGCTCGCGGCGATATCTCTCCATCGACAGAGTGGCGAATCGCTGTGAACATGGCTTGGTCGACTCGCTCCATGCCGTCTCGGATGTGGGAGGCAACTTCATTGTCCAGGGCGTGCGCAGACGCAAACAAGTCCACCTCAACGCCTCCACCATCTCGTCTTGGTTTTTGCTACATTCACGAACAGTGGCTCCAGATTCACTAGCATTGCTACTGGAGAAACTGACGCTACTAGTAGCGACGTCGGTGTCGCTAAACGCACCAGGAAGATTGCGCGGATATTTCGCAATGACCACAAAGTAAGTGATATCTTGGCGCACCCGGTCCGACTCGAGATACGGGTAGAGCGCGTCGTCCTCGACATAATTACAGACTGCAACTCCCAGTTCTTTGCCAACTGCTCTGTCCGGGTTCGGCCCCGTGCCGTCCTCCCAATATTGCATGAATGTCACGTTGTTCGTGAGATGTCCCAGTAGGTCGGAAATACTGATCTCCAAGTTGTAAGCAAACTTCAACACACCTTCGAACGCCTGCATGACGCTACGCGCGGAGTGTAAAGGTTTGATATCGAAGCGCACCAAGCAGACATCCCCGTTACCGGACGTGAAGCGCTGGAGATCCGTGAATTCTGTGTCCATTCGCATCTGCCGCGAGCGCTCCGACAGAAAGTAGACTGCTTCCTGTAGACGCTGCTGCTTCATCGCCAGCAGCGTCTCGAGTCGCTCTCGTGGGTCCTTGCCAAGTCGAATAACTGGCTCGTATTTGCTGTGATCATGTGCTCTCTGCAATTGCACATGACCAACACTCTGTCAATTCCAATTTTCATCGTTCCAATGCAACAGTAAAAACGTACCAGAAATTCCGAGATGAAGGACTGCGTGTTGGCAAAAATAATGCGTTGCCCCTGGATAGATTCTCGCAGTGCCTGATTCCGTTTCATCCTCACCGCAAGTGCATCACGTCGAATTTCCACCACCCCTCGTCGTGCCAGGTGTTGCAGTTGCAACAGCAAACCCTGCACCTTTCTCTCTAGCACCTCCGTCTCCTCCTACGCATCATCCAACTGAAGCCCCCACAACTTAATCGCAAGTTCTGCCCTACCTTGCGTCGGTAATACGTCCGAGCTCGCAGTGCCGCCTTCTTGGACTGTCCTTCATCCTTTCGCGTGACTTGTGTCTGCCTCCTTTTGGTCTTTGCAACACTCGGCAATAGCAGCGGCGGTGCAGACCGAGCCTCAGTGCTGCTGCACGACGTGGGAGACTCGGCGTTTGACATGTGAGGAGGTGCCGTCTGTGTGAAAGTTGAAATGCAACAACCGTGGGAGGTATCTGCTAAACTTCAAGTGAATTGAAACAAGGGTTAACCCTTTACGTAATGAGAAATTTGCACTATTGAGGCTCAATTTACTTGCAAGTTGCCTTGCGCGTCTGCGTGTCGAGCCGCTTCTATCATGGCGGCACCGATGTGTTCAATACCGTTCTGGATGCGCGTCACAGCGTTAGGCGGGACGTCGATGGTGCTGCGTCGAAGACGTAGACACCACCACTGGACAAGTACAATAATCGGCTTGTTGTCGGGAAGACGACGCCAAGAAACCATCGTTATGATCGTTACGTCCTGCCTCACCCGCGTGGGTTTGTATGGGAAGGCGTCGTCCTCGTCCACGGCGTCGCTGATGGAGAAGCCAACCTCGTCCTGCCCCGGTCCTGGCGGGATATACTCGTTAAAGGCCACATTGTTTGTATCCATCTGCAAGACGTCTTCGACCGTAGTGACTAGCCGGTGTTGGGCGACGGAGCTGCTTTGGCGAGGATCATCATTCTCGCGAATGGTGATATCTCCTAGCACCTCCGACATACTAATCTCGATATTGTAGACGAAATATTCAAGAGCATCGACAATTGCTTTGACACTTTGAGCTTCGGGTAGAGGCACCACTTCGAATCTCTCGGAGCACAAGTCGCCGTTTGTTGCCTGGAACTTTTTCTGGTCGCAGAACTCTTTAGTGACGTCCATAAAGCGCTGGCGCTCCCGCATGAACTCGTAGGCTCGCTGAAGCCGTTCGTGTTTCATTCGGAGAAGCGCAATATGGCGCATGTTGGGGTCTTTTGGCAAATGCGTGAGCGTATCAAAAGGACCCGCGTGTTTGTCTCGCTGGTTGGGTGAAAAGACGCGTTAAATACACTTCACTATTATTAATACAAAGATTAAACACGGACGCACCAGAATCTGGGATACCATGGATAAAGAGCTCGCAAAAGCTAAGCGTTGGGTGTGGAGCACCTCACGCAACGCTTGGTTGTTCTCCTCACGACGCACAAGCTCTTCTCGCTCCTGCAAGATCTCGGCGCGGTTCTTGTACTTCTCCGTCTGCTTCTTCAAGCGCGTCATTTCAGCCAGTAGCTCCTCGATCTCAGCCTGCAGCGACGTAAAAATCAGTCAGCGGGCACTTTTCAAAAGTTGATGCAACACACGAACCTTTCGCCTGCAGTACGTCCGGACGTTATTCTTCTTTGACTTTTTCGTGTTCGTTGGGCGCGAGTTCGACGTCTTCTTGAGCTTCTTCGTCTTTGACGGCGTGACGGCCGACGCTGCCACCGGACGCGACGGAGGCGTGTCGTCACCGCGAGTAGGCCCCGAAATGGGATTTTTCGCACGTCCTGGCATCGGCAGATTCTCTCCTTCGTGCGGCTTGTTCGGCACAGATACGATTGGTGATATCATGGAGCAGCTTCGGGCTTGCAATCGAGCATCATCATCCGTCACGCCAGACATGGCTACATTTGCGTGACTTGCTTCTAAAATGGTGAGCCATAATCGTTGAAGTTGAAGTGTTTCATGCTCGGAAACTGACCGACAGCGTTCAAGCTTCATACTGTACATGTACCGGTACCGTCGTTTAAACTACGTGCACATTTACATGGTCAGCTTCGTAACCATCAGGACGACACTTGTACTGTACCTGCCAAACTATTGGAGAGGCCACGTACAGTAGACGAGTTTATAAGTACATGTATTAGCATCCCACGCTGTACTTACACATTTTATATGACAGCTACTGAGCCCCCAGTGGGTCCCCCAGCGCCAGCACGTTCTGCTGCAGCCAGCATGGAGGCGGAGACGCTCTCGAGGCCATTCCGGATCCGGTCGGCAATGAGCTTGGGAACGTGGATATGGGATTTCCGGAGACACAGCGACCACCAGCGAGAGAATACAATAAGAGGATTGCCTTCTTTATCACGATGCTTCGCTACCATAATGATAACCGTGACATCTTGTCGAACTCTACATGTAGTCTCCGGTCTGTAAGGATAGAGTTCGTCCTCGTCGATAGGGTCATTAATGGAGAAACCGATCTCTTCCACTCCCGGACCTGGCGGCCGATACTCTGCAAACGCAGCGTTGTTCGTGTCCATCTGGACCATATTAGCGATGGTAGTCACGAACCGATGCTGCGCGACTGGGACGTTTATGGACAATTGCGGCTCGTCATTTTCTCGAATAGTGATGTCACCGTCCACCTCAGACATACTGATCTCCATGTTGGACACAAATGCCTCCACGGTGTCGTAAAAACCCGCTTGACGCTGCGCGCTACGGGCAGTGGAACGATCTCAAAGCGCTCGGAGCAGACGTCGCCATTGGTCGCCGTGAACCTCTTTTGCTCGCAAAAGTCCAACGTGACGTCCATGTGGCGCAGCATTTCCATCATGAACTCGTAGGCGCACGATAATCGCTGGCTCCTCATCTTCATTAGAGCAGCTCTGCGCTTTACCGGGTCTTTGCTTAGCTTGGTCGGTGTGTCAAACGGCCCCGTACACTACTCACGCTGTAGTCGAAGGACAAACAATCATTGGGTACTGCAAAAAAGCAGGGATTCAACTGAAAGATAAACGTACAAAATGATGCGCAATAATTGATGCTGCGCCTGCGATCGCCCGACGTTGAGCGTGCAACACTTCACGCAACACTTTGTTGCTGTGTTGACACCGTTGCAGTGCCTCTCTCGGCCGCAGGACGTCTGCTCGGTCTTCTAGATCTTTCACCGCTTCCTCAAGTCGTTTCTTTTCTTCCTCCAGCCGATCCATCTCCTCCTGTTATTGTATTCATTTGATGGTTAGGAAAAAGCAAAAGACTATCTCACGACTAAACAGGTTGGGCACGTGCCTTACGACGGTAGTAGGTGGGTATTTTCTTGCGCTTGGGCTTGCTGGCATTTTTGCGCGTGCGGTCGGTTGCCTTGTGGTGCTTGTGGGGCGACGCGTCGTCGCTGGAGGACGAGGTGGGGCTGGCATTGCCTGCTTTCGTTGCCATGACGTCAGTCGCTTGTCCTCGTGGGGATAGAATTATCAAGGCTATTTTGGTAATTAAGCGTGCGTTGACGATCACCTTGTTTTGGAAAGTCTCTACGTCTGCACTGTTGTTTGGGAAGTGAATAGCTTGTACCGGTATTTAGGGGGACATACATGTAGGGTTAGAGTTAGCTTGAAGTATCAATTAGCGAAATGAAAGATTTTTCATTTTGTATCAGCTTCTTGTATTAATATCAACACTACTACATGTACTGAAGTGCATCGACTCAGTATTAGCAAGTTCTACTGTGTTCGTAGTCCTACACAGAGTGTACAAGTATTTAAAGTACGTGTGCATTTTTCGAAAACTGATCTTCCACGATTTACCGGTACATATACCACCATTTTACGAGTCTGGTTTACGGTGAATGCGGAGCGCAATTGTAACCACAGCCTAGTTCATCCTCGATGACTTGATTCCAGTATGTTGCTCTCTGCCTTCCCTATCCAGAGTGCAACTTGCGCCAGCACACTCACTTCTGAAGAGCTTTTCCCAAAACCAGTACCATATGTGAGCTCAAATCCCGTAATCAGTACCTTTCCCAAAACCACCCACACAAAAATAAAGTGGACCACTTTATTTTTGTAGCGCTAAGGATTCTATAAATACAAGAAACATATTTCTTTCAGACTATTTTGGAGCTTTGTAAGTACAATGGACGCAATTGGGGCTTCCGCGTCTCCTGACTTTCGCTGTCACGTGTGCGAACAAGCATCCTCCAGTCGATCAAACCTCCAAAAACATGTGCGGAAGAACAATTGTGATCCGGAAACAAAGAAAAAAAAGAGAAACGAAAAGCGCGAAACGCGCGGTATCAAGAAAAACGGAGGCTTAATAATGAAAATTTACGTACTAACGATGGGGAAGCTGAGAAGGTTGGGACTCTCGAAGCTACTGAAAAAAACGATGGAAGTGATGAATGTCTTGTCTGCTACACAAACCTTAACAATCCTGACGCTCGTCCTACAAATGGAATGAATTGTGAACACCGGACTTGTGGCGAGTATTTGCCAAATGTGCAGCCCCCTCTCTATATTAGCCCTTGCGGCCATTTATTTCATAAAGTTTGCAGTAACGACTACTTGAGAAACAATGGCTTTACGCCTTTGTGCCCAGAATGTGGAATATATCGACTTTCGCTTCCGTAGTTGGCTTTATATACTTAATTCATTCGAGAGAACAAACATATTCTTTTTGTCTTGTTTTTATACAATACTTCTGCCAACAATTCTTGATGCTGTATTTGACTTTGGTGGTTTATGTCAGTATAGACAATTTTTAGATTAAGACGCGTTTTGAAATCATATCCTTTTTTGTAAGACGCCATTTGGAGTAGGACGCAATTTGGAGTAAGACAATTTTTTGAGTAAGACAATCTTTGGAGTAAGACGATTTTTTGGAGTAAGCTGATTTTAGGATTAAGGATTTAGAAATAAACTGCATTCTGACATAAAAAATTAAAGCGATTTTATTAAGGATAGTCGATAAACTATTCCTCCTTACAGCTTTTCTCGCCCAAGCATTTGTAAATTTTACGACCTTAACAAATTCGTTAGGCATCTACTATGAATCTGCTTGATATGACAAGCCTTCATGGTACATCTGAACTAACCTTGGGACAACGGTTCCAAACAGGGCGGCTGGCAACGTATTTTATGCAAGATTACAGCTTTAGCTAACTCACAATTAATACCGCATGCGGTATCCCTCCCGAATTTACGTGATATCATTTCCGGTCGTCAAGTGAGCACTGCGGCAAAATTACCTGCAGAAGAACCTTCTGCATCTCAAGCCACAGGAAACTCAAGTCGCATGCCAGTAAATTTCTTAATTAATTAGTACTCCGGAGTAATAAAATCAAACGTAACCTACATACAAGACACAGCGTTTATATCCCATCGAATCTCCACTAAAAATTAAATTCTATCAGACCATTTGACTATATATCGCTGAAAATCAAACAAAACTACTATTGTCAGCTCTATTTTGACAGGAATCTGTAAATTGCTAACGACACGTTCACCAAAGTGAGATTAGTAAAGTCTTTGTTTTGGAAGTTTCAGTCCACAGTGGCAATGGCATAGCAAGATAAGACTACCTGCAGGTTCTCGAAATTGTCTCCGTAGTTGTCACTCTTGAAATAATTCAAAAACGCGTCGTTCGAGTCAAATAGCTGGACCCACATATCCATGTTCTCAGCGAAGTAGTTGCGAGTACAGGCGCTGTATGGAGCGACATCATTCTGGTATAGGACGACCTTCCCACCACATCCGTCAGCACACTGTAGAGGGACGACGTATTACCGTCATGGTTGACTTGTGCAGTGCAATTATAGGCGATCAGTGTCCACCCACACGATGCTCAGGCCCGTTGGCTAGATGCTCCAGTGGAACTAGTACAAAATTTGTACTATTTAATAGTGCAATAGCACAAAACAAAAATAAAGTGGTCCACTTTATTTTTGTTTTGGTACTGGTACTGGTTTTGGGAAAGGTACTGATTTCGGGATTTGTACTCACATATGGTACTGGTTTTGGGAAAAGCTCCACTTCTGAAAACGCTTGACACGCGGTCAGGTCAAGGTTGCAACATTTGCGATGGCACCGGACACTCTCGTGCAGCAAATGCCGCCCTTGCCGACGCGGGGACGAACGTACCTCTTGCAGCCGTTGGTGCAACCCTCTTCACCGGCCCGTGAACTCGAGGCCAAATTCATGGCTATCAAGGCACAGCAACCAACCCGGCCACCAGAAGAAGACATTTTCCTCGGCGGCCTGAACAAACCGCAACGCAAATCGGCACCTTCAGCCACGGTTCGTGAAATAAATCATTTAGCAAAAAGTGGCAAGCAAATTATTTACTAATAACTTTTGTCGTGAACGTACCAGCACGAGCTACGGCAACTACGTGCCGACGCAGCAGCAATGGAAGCTCAATTGGCTTCACTCTGTATTAAATGGCAAGAAAACATACCAGACCCTACCGTTCGATAAAAAGCCTGCATGGCAGCCAAAGCGAAATGGATCTCGTCGCAGGCAGAACAAGTGAACCGCTCTCTCAAAGACCAAGTGCTGCAACAGCAACTGTATTTAGCATCGTTGCAACATGTCATGACTCAATCCCCGTTCCTGACCCCATCACGGAGCAAAGAACTCTACGACGGCATGCACGGATACTCCGAGCTTACGGAAACCATGACCGATTCTCAGCCCACTTGCCACTTCCAGTCGCAATGTGCCATGGGTGTTCGAATCGTTCCGGCACTTATGGGTCGGTTCACCCGACAACATTTGCCAAGTGCAACATTTAGCAACCCATTTTCACACACGAGTGTCATGGCCGATGGCAACTACACTTACGTTTCCAACATCCTCCTTTGTCGGATTCCGCACCGACCACTGGAAGAGGCAGTGGCGGCGGCGTTGCATTATTTCCAGAACTTGTCAACAGAACTCAAAGCCCACGTGGGTGTGCACTGCGACCTCGGGCTAATGCAGGATTTAGGCGAAGCTCGAGCCTACACGCAAATGCGGTATCGCAACGGGCCCAAATTTTTCTCAGCCAGCAACACGACACTGGCCGCTTGCATCACGTCGGAGTCGGCGGTGGTTGTTGCCGATTTTGTTGACAGGGACGCTCGCTACCCCAGTCAGATGGAAGTGTCGGTCTGGACTCCTGTCTCTCGTACGTATCCGATACTGTCTCGATGCTGAGTTGTTGAAGTTGTTGATTTACCACGATTGCTATCTTCGGATCTGACGGAATTTTTATCTTGTTGCAGGTTGCTAATGACGTCGGAGAGAGATCCCGTGACTGGCCAGGAACACGTGCTACTGCAGCGTCTGAGCGTCAATCGCTACAATCTCTCACCCACTTCGCCGAGATTGCACGACGAGATCCGGTCCACGCTGCCCTGGTTTAACGGAGATTTGTTCATGGAAGTGCTCTGTCGACAACTGGAGCAAGGCAGCCCTGCAAGAGCGCTTCCGTCGTGTTAGTTTTTTGTTTGGTCTGTACCATTGTTTAAAGTAAAAATCTGAGCTGCATTGCTTCGTGTACAATATCATTTTCGCATTTAAAAAAAAAAGTATTGTTAAATTATTTGTCTATGTGTTTAGGTATTGTGCCTTCCAGCGGGCATTTGACTTACAGCAAAAAAATAAACTCGAGGTCACGTCTCGCTTGGGCTCGTCTCGACTGCACTGACGTTTTCCAGCTTGATTGGGCAGGTTTTCCGCTTTTTCGTGATCCGATCTTCGTCCGACTCGGTATCTTCCGCTTCTGCTTTGGTCCACTGCACCTCCGTCTTGTCCTCCGTCTCGGATCGGCCGCATTCACTTCCGTCGTTGCTCATGTTCATATACGCGTCACTGAGCATTGCCATGTGAAAATCTCCGTTAAAATACGACATCAGTTTGTTGAGTTCGCGGTGGAGCACAGGCGAGTTGGGCGGCAAGTTGTAGCGATGCACACGAAGACGACGCATCAGAACGATCGGCTCGTGCGTTTCTGGGTCCTTCACGCGCGCAATTGTGACAATCGAGCAAATGTCGATACGAAGTCCCGACTTTGATGTGGGCGGCACCAATGGCACACCATCGCTGCCGACTTGTACGTCCTGCGCTTCTTTCCTGGCTGCGTCAGTTCCTTCGTCATCGTCCTCATCCACAAAATCCGTCACGATGACGGCCAAGTCGTCGCTAATCAACTTGCCGGTCCACGCACGGTTCGTGTGCGCGCGACGCATCTCACCGTCTTGACGCTCGACACGTGCGTAGTACGTCGACTCCCCCATTTCCACCTCGTGCTACAATAAACGTAAAAAATAAAAATAAAAACATTGGCAATTAGTGAGCATTTCCAGCACGACGGTCTGTAAGATAACAGAGGCACGTCTGAAGGGAACAGTACCGTCGGTACCTTGACTTCAAGCAGGACGCCGAGACGGCGTTCGAGCTCGATCGAGGTGTTTTTGAGGTTGTCGACCAACGTCTGGAAGATCCGTGGGATGTAGGCATTGGCTGGCACTTTACACACGAAGACGTTGGAGACGAGTGTGCCACACGTGCTGCCGTCTTTCTCCGTGTCGTTTCCGCTCAGTGGCGGCGAGATCGTGGTTGCTGCCGTGCTGGTGCGTGAAATCGGCAGAACCGGCGACGTGAGTGGTACGAACTCGCGTGTGAAGTTGTCCACGAGCTCTGGGGCGAGCCGGACACCCACTTCGAAGCGTGCTTGGAGCTGCTCCTTGCGCCGGTCCGGGTCTGACCCGACGAGATGCAAATAGCCGTGCATACGGTCAAACAGATCTTGGCACAGTGCAGAGCGCGACCATAGTGGCGCCTCTGTGAGCTTCTGCTGCAGCGCTGAGAAATAGAGTTGCTGTTGCAGCAACTCGTCCTTTAGGCGCAGGTTGAGCTGCTCCACGCGACCAGTAACCGTCTTCTGCTTAGCTGCTGTGCAGGCTGCCAGCAACACGTCGCGTTCGGGCAGCGCCGCTCTCCACTTGGCGCACAGAGCCGTAAACTGCTCGTCCAACCGTTGGACTTCGCTACGTAGCTCCTTGACCTCATGCTGTACAGCGCAAGCAGCACGGTTAGCACTGACAATCTTAGCTATTATACTTGACAAGAAGGGAGGAACGCACCGCGGCCGGGACGGCGGCCTTTCGCGTCGGCATGCCGGACGCGTTGCGACCTCTGGTGCCGGTTTTTCTGGAGCTGCCGCTGGTCGTGGCGATGGCCATGAAAGGATCTTTCTGTCGACTTGTCATGCTTTGCAAAAGTCAGCCGGTGCGTTGAACACGGGGTGAACGCCCGAATTGCGTTCGTGTTGTCCTCCTAGCGAGACGGATATCAGCTTGCTCGCGTCCTGCCAGACGAGCTCGTAGTCGGCTCTTTAATTCACGCGGTCAGGACTCAGGTCGCCTAAAAGTTGGACGATGATCGAAGTGGATGATGATGCGGATGGGGGGTCCGAGACGCATCAGCAAGGACCCGATGCCGGTCGCAGCTGATGAAGCGTTTCGTCCTGTTGTCCGGGTAGCCACCGATTTCATCATGTGGGGACTGCGCGATGTATTAATAGAGGCTGCTTACTGTTTCCTGAGAAAGGAACAAGTGGCGTCGATGGGAAGCACGTGGCCAATCCGCGGCGGGCTTTTGGCAACGAGTCATCGCTGGCGGGCACTCAGCAATCAGCGCCGTTGATGCACGGCGATAAGGCCTCTCTCTGTACATGCCTCTGTACGTATTGCGTACACTATAATACGCAAAGACAAGCTTGTCTCCACCATTGGTGGCACCAACGCAATTGTGGACTGCAACATTTGATCACCGCCAAAAGTCTCCGTTGTGGTTGACGGTCAACTTGACCCGCCCCACAGTCGACTTTAGCCATGTCATGAAGTTGCGGCTGGTGGCGCGGCAGCCCTTATCATTACTGTCAGCCATGTTACTACATGTATCCCAACTTGGGATTCCCAAGTAAACATCTGCCGCTCCTTTCTGCTGCTTGTGGCGCGACTGGTTCTTTGCAGAGACAGAGAACTCTCACTGAGAATCTCAGTCTGAGTGTCCGAGAGATCGCGTACCGTATATGCACACAGTGGTGCGTGCAGTGCACGTGGTGACCACGGTGGTCACGCGTCTCCAGCCGGTGTACACTATTCAAGTGGCAGCAGCAAGCTTACAAAAAAAGCTGGTCTGCGTGGTGACAAGCCGCAATGCGTTGCTGCCATTTGTCCAAATCGGGTCGTGCTTGCTTCGAGGCCACGAAGACATCACGAGCAGCGGATCGCGAGGACGGGTCAGTAAACGAATGCAATCAGCAGATCCATCCATCACCCTTGCTCGTCGACACACCCGACATAAAAGCAAGCAATTGAAGTGTGCCTCCCAGTCAATTGGATACACGACGAAGATTTGCAAGGCTCTGTTACAACCCCCCAAAACTTTATGAAGTTTGAACTCTTCGTGTGCATGTATTACAAACTCAATCTCTCTGGCTGAGGTTCGATCTGCGACTTGTTGGCACCAAGTGCTATTATTAATAAAGTACTTAGCCTTTTTAAGCTTATATAGTAAACTTGCAGCAGGTTTTTCTTGCGTCGGTACATGAAGCATCATACCGGGACTGTATTACGAACCTCGTTTTTATTACACGTACAGTATTAATCCGTCGTACAGTAATACTGTACAGCGAGGCAAATTGCAACAGGACGCTTTGGCCCGACTCGCACCCGCGTCCGGTCCATGGAGACGCTGAGCGCGTCCATAGGGTCAAAAGATCGTTTGACACAAAAGTTACTGCATTTCCTACTTTACACGAGGCTTTTTACGAACACTACAGGACTTACGCTACGGTCTACATTGTGCGCGAGTTCTGCTGTCGCTCCTGAATGTACCCGCACACAGTAGCTGTGATCAGGTCGCCATTTAGAATAGGGCGAATGATTTCCAGGTCGTTTCTGATGGCCGGGTCGTCCGGCAGTAAGTTGTAGTGGTACACGACCATCCAGCGCAGTGTGACCGACACCGTTCTACCGGTCACAAGGTCTTTACGAGGCGTAATGGTAAGGCCACAGATGCCGAACTGCGACGGCGTAGATCTGTTTATCGGATGCAACGGATCTTCCGTAATGGCGTCGATGTGCACCATTCCATGAGACGGGGTAAGCTCCGAACAGACCACATTATTCACGCTCGCTGGCAGTCCCGCACCGTTAAAAGTCGAGCGACGGTACACTACAGGCGAGTCGACACTGTTGAGTCGGACGCGCTTGGCGTTGACGTTAAAGTGGCGCTTCATGGACGTCGGGATGCCGTCAAAGTAGGCCAGGACGGCCGCGTAGACTTCCTCGAGCGACGTGTGCGGGATCTCCGACACAAAGACGCTCGAGATGAGCGTATAGTCCTTGCATCCGGTAATGTCAATCTGCGACAGCGGCATAACCGGCTTGGTGCCGTGCTCATCCTGCGTAGCCATGACTTTATCCATGGCCATCTGTGCGAACCTGTGGACGATGGACGGCAACGTCGCGAGCGAACGGTCATTGTGAGCCAGCAACAGCTTCTCTCTCTCGCTGGCATCGCGTCCAAGGTGCGTATCGAAGTGGAGAGCCTCGAACATTGCCTGTCCACTGGAATGCAGCGGCGCACGCAACACTGCGGACTGAAGGGTGGCGAACAGCAACTGCTGTTGCAGAAGCATCTGCTGCAGCTCATTGTGCGCCGTCTCGGTCTGAATCGCACCGTGTTTCTCTCTGGCGGAGCGCTGGGCGATGGCCAACGTGCGTTGGTCCGGGAGATGTGCCGCCCACTTGTTGTTCAACACGCGGAGTTCCTCCTCCATTTCGGCAACTTGAGACCGTAGCAGACGGATCTCATGAGTGGCACTGAGCGGCGCTCCGTTGGCTGCGCGAGGCCGCGGAGGCGCTGGACTCTCGCCGGTCAGCGCGCAGATGAGTTCCTCATTGCCGTCGCGACTGGGCGAAAGACGGCGACGCTTCTTGTTGCCATTGCGACTGGAGACAGCAACGATCTCGGGGCTGCTGGGCGCTGTGGAGTAGGCGGAAGAGCCCATGTCTGGCAGTGGGGGCATCAGGATCACGTTGGTAGACTGGACGCTCATGAAAAATCGCTAGTATGGGCGAGTCAGTATCTTATCACCGCTCTGTTGCCGGACTGGAAAATTGCAAACTAAAAATGCCCGACTTGATTGTTGTCGGCTGCTGGAGGAGGAGCAGATGAGTTGCAGAGGTGGCTACGCAGACGGGATCTGCAAAAACTGATATAGCGGTTGTGGGAAATGTGGACATTAACCCTCGCAGGCGTAAACAACCAATTTCCGTTTGTCCCTCTATTGACACTGCTCCAAGATTTAATGAGTAGGTCAAGCAGGCAGCAAGTATGAAAGTAAATGCTCTGAGCAATGGACACTTGACTGTCTTCAAAGTGAAATTTAGGGATGCATCCTAGTTATTTTCCTATTTCGTCACGTTTGGTCGGTCAGCTATCAGCTACATGCCGTACACGGGAAAGCTGCCTTTCTCAATATAACATCAACGACGGAGCTCGACGAGCGTGTTCAATCGAGCGGCCAAACCATTTAGCTTAATCTCTTTGGCAACAGTGCGCACTTTGAAATTCAAAAAATGCAAGAATACTAAAACCTTTCTGATGCAATGCACCTTACGTACCTATAAATATAGAATTAGAAAGGTCAGGACACAGAACGTGCATCGATTACGACGGCGAACGGGCCGTTGCGTAAAAATAAGAAGGTGCTTTTACCGCATTCAGAGTTGCGATGTCTCGAAGAGGAGCCCCAAAGCACTTGATGTGAGTATGGTTCCGTAAAAGTGGGAGTCTCAATAGCGAAAGCCGGAACTGCCGATCATGGCGGCTAGATGTTGATGAGATGATCTGGGATGCTCGATCAACATGCTGGCTGCCTGGCACCAGGCTGGCATTCTGCACCCCGGTCTGGAATCCAGCCTGGACGATGCCATCGTCCATTGGACGGCCCTGCAAGCACGCGCTCTGCAATAGCTGCGCCATCCAATCGCCTACTCTGTACGCGGGCTGCTACGATTACAATTGCACTTTAGCCCTCTTTGAGCTGTAGAGTACACTGGATTGCTACACGTACATGTACGTTGGCCGTTTTGATTGCGGAATGCTCTAGGCGGGATATTCGAACGCCGCAACTCAAAGCGACTCACGCTTTGCTGCTCTTTGTTTCGCTCTTTGTGTTTTGTGGGCAAAAATTATGTATTTTTGCATGGAATAATCAAACAGAACGTGAACAAACAAGCACCAGGTAGCTATGCAGCATCCTTAGGCCCTGGTCTAAGTAGAAAAAACCGAAACTCGTTCTGAAAATTCTGCCTTTTGATTGGCTGAGGGCCGTTCTTAACCACTGCCATAAGTGGAGGAAATACCATCGGTCAGTAGAAAACTACTGATCTGTCCCCAATGCGGCGCAGAAAAGACGGCAATCAGTAGAAAATGATAAAGTTCGATCCGTACCTAACTCTAATCATAGCTACATTTCTGCTGCCTTCAACAAAACCGCTTTTGCCTTAAGCGTACCATGCCTCGAAAGCCGCCTCCGAATTATGGGAGTTCTCCCTTCGTGGTAGATCTTTCTGACATCGCTACAGCTATAATCATGGGTGTTTTGAGGGAGGACGCAAAAGTTGATACCTCAGACCGCTCCAGCCAAACGTATGGGGGAGTATACGTGACGCGAACCAATATTGCAGACACTGAGTTTCCAACACAAATAAGGAAACTAACGACACAAACAATTGCAATCGTTGACTGCTGATTAATAATTAAGGTATTTCTTTCCAATAAATTATCTTACTGATCCTCACTCTCAATAAATATCAGCAGCAAACGGACTGGGGAGTCAATCTCTGTGAGTAGATAGAACTCTACTAACGTACCCTAAGAGTAACCAGTTGGATACGTCGTGTACCCAGCTACTTCAACGTCAACATGTTATTTCGGTGTACTATTTTTTAGCTGCTCAAAACGCCTTTATTTATATGGTTGTTTTTGTGGAGTGCACTTCGGTGGCATTCGCCATTTTGGTCGATGCCTCCGCTCAACCCCCGACAGCGTCAAGCCCGAACGATCCAGCGCCGTCTGGACGGCTCCTTCTGGCAGCTTCATCTAAGCAGAGAAGTTAGCATACCGAACGAAGTCGACCGAGAGCTGGACGCAGAGCGTGCATCGTCCATAGGTGGTGGGTTACGTGACGTTGTCAGTAGAGGAGGAGGTCTTTTTGCAAATGAGCGCCGAGCTCGTAGAGGAGACAATGCTCAGCTCTTCGAGGTAGAAAGAATATTCGCCAAACGGTGGGTCAATAACTTCGTATACTACCTTATTCAATGGGTGGGGTACACAGAGTTGACGCGGGAGCCAAGTGCCAACGTGCCAGCGCGCCTAAAGATGGTGTTCGAACACGAGTCAGTCAATTTCGTCTGGGTCTATCAATCTACGCGGGGAAGACGAACCCAGCGTCGCGAGCAGCCAGCTCGCCGGAGTCAGAGACTGATAGACCAAACGAGGCAGGACTAAGAGAAAATGCAAATGCGAACTTAACACCAAACGAGGCAGGACTATGAGAAAATGCAAATGCGAACTTAACAGCACTCCAGTAGCTGTGAAATCAGTAGTTGTGCAGGCAGCGCCGCGTTGGGGACAGATCAGTAGTTTTCTACTGACCGATGGTATTTCCTCGCCATAAGTGCCATGCCATGGCATACTTGTCGCAGCGTCATGGCAGTGTGGCAGGTTTTCGTTAGGAACGCAGCTGCCACCAATATATTTTTTTTTCTTTTAACAAAATTTTACGATAAAGAAAAACAAAACAAATCTTGCTGGCCAAAAGGAAACGAAGATGCCCGGCAACGGCAAGAGCGCGAGGAGGACCACAGGCGCGCAAATTGGTCGGCCCAAGCGCGTCAAGGTCATGCCAGCAAGCGGTACGCCACCTGTAGATGCTCTCAGGAAACCCTCCTCTGAGTTTGTTGGCGTTGTGTCCACTCCACTTGCATTATGTGGGGTTGATGTTGCAGGTGGAGCTCGCTCTGTTGGTCGTGACTTGCGAAGCTGGTAAAGGTTGGTGCGGTGTTGTAGTTGATGCTGCAGGCCATATTTCTGGTGAAGACCGTGCTGCTGGTGACGGAGATCATGTTGCTGGTACCGTTACTGGTCATGTCGCTGGCGTAGGCCTTTCGGTCACTCGTGCTACTGGTGGAGACCATGTTGTTGACCGCCATGCCAATGGCATCGACGGAGACCGTGTTGCTGACGAATGCTATGTTGCTTCTGGGAACTGCGTTGCTGAAGGTGGTTTTGCTGCTGGTGGATCCTTTGCTGCTAGTGGAGACCGTGCTGCTAGTGAAGATAGTGCCAGTGGGTACTGCGCTCCTGGTGCGCGCAACGTGATCGATATAACGGACCGTGGCACCCAAATTAATGGTGGAAATGCCTGCTATGTTGCAGTCAGCAAACCCCGATCTAACTATCCACAACATATTTATACGGAGGATGGCGACCGCGCTGTTGTTCTTCCAAATGCCGAAGAACGTGGTGTACCGGAGCCTGGTAGTAACGATTCACAACCGGTGAGCCAAGGTGTCACCGCTGACCGTATTGAAATGCAAGTACGCAACTGGACCGTTAAAAATCCGGGAGCGGTCCCGACGCCGACATGTGAGGACTATGCGTTGTGGTCGGTGGCTCAACTGCGGAAGGAGTGCAGCGAGAGAAAGTTGCGAGTGTCCAGGAAGCTCGGTAAGCTTGCGCTCGTTGAACATTTGAAGAGGCACGATGCTACACGTAGAGCAGTTCAAGCAACTGTTGACGATGGAAACCTGTTGGATCCAAGCTTGCGCAAAACAAAACACTGCTGCATTCGACTTCTCAATGTTCTTTTCTCGGACCGTTTTGCTACGCGTCTTGCTTCATCCGACGACGCGGCAACGAGAGACCAAATAGACACGGGTGAGGTAAACCAGAACACGTCCTTTTGGAAGGAAGTAGCAAAGGAGTTTCAAACCAACACAACGGATTACAATGGCCTCTTCACCTTCAATGACCCTCGCTACATCGGGATCGACCCTTCTGTCATCGTCCAGCATGATGCACCACGACTTTATGACATGTGGAAGAAAGTGAACACCAAATACATCAAAGCCTTCTCGAAGTTCGATGTATCCGGCCAAAATTCCAACGACTTTTACGAGTTCTGCGATGGAAGTTTGGATGCTGCGTATGTCAAGGTTTGCATCAAGCAGAAGCCAGAGTTGGAGTCGTATGTGAAAGGGGGCATGCACGAGGAAGATGAAATCGACTCGATGAACTTGAAGCGCTCGTCAAATGGCGATCGCTCTTCACGCAAGTCAGCTAAGTGGCAACACAACATTCTTACGACCTTTGATCGCATCGCTGAGGTTCTTATCGGAAATCAGAGCTCAACAGCGGCGTCGACTAAAGCCGTCACACCAAACACTGATGAGGAAGACATGCTACTTGGCCGGATTGCTAAACTTCACCAAGTGATCTCCCAAGTGAAGAATAGTTAACGTGCGTCTGTATCCAATGGAGAAACCGACGTGGCACTGACGAACAGCCTTGGGCTGTACACAAAACGACTACAGCAGTACGAATCCCGCCTGGCGGAGCTGGATTAGTTGTGAAGTCTGGTGTGGGTGAACATCAGCTTTTTCTCTATCTTGCGGGAAATGAACATCTTGTGGTTATCACGAGGACGAACCAACAAGGTAATAGCAGTACCTATTTGATATTTAATGCATGCAAGTTGGATTCACTGCTCCTGTGCTTCTCTGCGTCGTCTGGCCTGATTTAACTGCGGGCGCAAAATGGTATCGCGTTCAAGAAGATCGACGACAGCACCTCTAATCCACTCCGAAGAATTATAGATGTCCGTGTCGACAAGTAAGTCAGAGGAGTCGTACAGTTGACGATACCTTGAAGTATCTTGCGAAGCAACAGTAACATCTCTTGATGCATCGTTCGATTCCAGTGCTGCATCCAACGCCTCCGCTAAGTCCTCATCGTTATCTACTCGGTAGAATATATCTTCTTGAAGCCGCCGGTTGATACACCAATTGTGTAAGATGCACGCAGCTATTATAGTGCGAGGCACTCTGTTAAAGGCGATTTCCATCGGCGCATTGAAAACTCTCCACTTACTCACCAGTAGACCAAAGGCCATCTCAATTCTAATTCGCAGTTGGCTCAAGTGAAAATTGTAGCTGTCATGGAACGTAGTTGATATTCTTGGTCGAGGAAACGGGGTTAAGAGTTGGTTGGTGTTGGTGTAAGCGTCATCTGCAACCACGTTCAATCCGGCTGGAAACTTACTAACGACGCTAGATAGTCTCCACTTTAGAAACGCAACCGCATCTCCAGTTCCACCGGGACTAGAGCATGTCACGGCTGTAAACCGACTTAGATGGTCGCAACAGGCTTGCCCATTAACACCATAATGTCGATAATGCCCCGAAAAAAAGGAGCGAACTCTCGAAACTTCGTCCTTCTTCGGCACCCGTATGGGGCACAACCAGCCGTCGATAGCTCCTACGCATCCGTTCATTACACGAGAGCTGCTAAGGTTTTCAAATTGATTTGCAGCGTAACGTTGAGTAGCTATGGTTGAAGGGAACTGAAGCTGTAGATCTGGATGGTCGACTACTGCATCCACAACTTCATGGATGCTGGCGTAGAAGGCCGACACGCTAACTCCACTTGTTACCCGAATGTTGTGGTACGAACCGCCTCCAAGCCAACGCAAGCACATGTGCAGCTTGTTAACGGGGCTTATCGGCTCAACACCAGTCCTGTTGCGAGACTGTTTTTCGTCAACACGTAGATATGGATCCAACTTCGTAGCAAGCGCCATAAATAACTCATAAGACATCTTATAGCACTTCTGGAACTGACCCTCATCCACTAGTAGCCTTCCGTGTGCCTTCCAGTCTAGCCGGACGCGGTGTCGACATTGGCGGCGCGATTCAGCAGCTAAAGCAACGATCGGCAAGAGCGCTAGCAGTAGCGTTAGAATTGCGCCTAGATCCCCCTCCATTTTGTTGCAAATTTACTGGATTTCCCTCCGTTTTTCAAAAAGTTACCTAATGTCACCGTGGCAAAGTCACTTTTGGTGGCACGGGACTTATGCCATGCGTGGCATTTCCACCCTACCCCTAAAAATTCTTGGCCAATCATCTGGCTTTAATTTCTGCCATGGCATGGCGTTGCGTGGTTAAGAACGGCCCTGAGAGCAGAGCGACTCTCGGTACGCGTTCCGAGTTTATACCGTTCTGTGTGAGGTTCTTAGAACACCTTGTGGAGGTGTTCTGAAGTCGGAACGAGTTTGCTGTCTCTGCCACAGTATATTTCGCTCCAAGTGCCCACTCTGTGTGCTGCTTTCTTGGTTCACACATTATCAGGCAGTAAGTCAGCTTGTCAAAATGGATGGCAATATCGGAAGCCGAACAATTCCATCGTGGAGCGTGGGTTGGTCGGTGTGAGCAGGTCTGAAGTCGTGTGAGTCCATTGAGCTGGAGGAGAGTGGAGCGGAAATGAGATAGTGTTCTGCTTTCATACACTGCATTGGATTTCACGTACTTGTACACCGGCTTCAAGCACTGAGAACTCGTCCTGACCTGACACTTGTCTCGGAGCCAAATCCAGAATACACGTACTCTGACCTGAAAGTCGTTCTGATCCAACCCAATCCCTTCTGCTATTCTCGGAACAAGTTTACTTAGACCAGGGCCTTAGCGGGCTACTGCCAGCGAGATCTGCGTATGTAAGCTGATACTATACATGCTACACACGTACGTTGCATTAACAGTAAATGAAGTTTTCTCAAATTTTGAGAAACATTCTGCGCATACCTTTTAAAATGATAGAAGTAGTTCTTATTGCCTAAGCAAGCTCTACAGTACTTCATGAGCACTGGCTAACATACTCCATCTTATACGTTTGCGTGTTCTTTTTTTAAAGTAAAACTAGAGTAATGAACTAAAACTGAATTTTATGTAATCACTAGGCAAATGCTCAGTAGTTAAAGAGCTAGCAGTTCTAATAGAGATTAAAAGCTTTAAACCTCTTGTCCGCTATATGATAAATAGGCGACGGCGGGGTTAGATACAGGCTGTATTCTGAGCCCGCTGTCTCCGAGTTATTCAGTCGATGTGTCTACTTTCGATGTCCAGAGATTACTGCGTGCAAATTACTGCGGCTTTTACAGCAGGCATAAACCTTTACGCTCTTGCCCCTGGCAAGTTGCCAGATCTGATACATGTACTTCGAAGTGTAGTAAAATATAGATGTATACTGTAGAGTAAAGAACATCCTTATAATGCACTGGTCACTGATGAACGATAAACATGTACCTTCGAGAATATAACGAGATAAAACGTACAATTGAAGGTAATTATTTACTAATTTAACATCAAACTTGGTGCTATAATAGTACTGTAGTTCTTCAAGGAATTATATTAAAGCTTTTTTTTTCACCTTAATAATACATTATTCATTTAGGAGCGCTAAAGATAAGTACTACAGTAACCATGTTCTATGTACTAGTACTACAGTAGTATAATTGAAGCACGGTTGTCCTCCAAATTATACCAATACTACTAAATTTTGTACTATAGTACTACGTTGCTAATACTACTACAGGTAGTAATAAGAGAGGTCCAACGTAACAGTGTCTGAAAAAAGTTCCACATACCACCAGTATGTAGCAACTCAAAGGTAAATGGAAGATTGTAACTATTAGTACAGCCTGTAGTCTATTGGACGAACGCTCAACATTGCCACTGTACATAGAATAATACTTGTGTGCATCCAGCTAGTTACGCGAACTTCGTCGCAGTTGGAGTTCGTGAATATAATTGCACACCGACGCCGTGATAAGATCCCCATTCAGAATCGGTCGGATGATCTCCAGGTCCTTTCTGAGAGCAGGTTCGTCCGGGAGCAGCTTGTACCGATACAAGACAACCCATCGGAGCGTCACAGCCACCGTTCTTCCCGTCAATGGGTCTTTCCGAGGCGTCATTGTGAGGCCAGAGATGCCGTAATCCAGAGGGCTGGACTGCGAAGTGGGATAAATAGGATCGTCCACAACTGCGTCCATGTGAATCATTCCATGAGAAGCTGTTAACTCGGAGCACAAAATGTGGTTCACATTGGCTGGCAGTCCGACTCCGTCGAGGGTCAGTCGCCAGTATGCTGCTGGTGCATCGGGTCGGTTAAGCCTCGCTCGCGTCGCATCAACACCGAAATGGCGCTTCATTGTAGCGGGAATGGCATCGTGATAGGCCAGCGCAGCCGCGTACACGTCCTCTAGTGAATTATGCGGAATCTCCGACATGAAGACACTGGTAACCAGCGTGTAGTTTTTGCAGCCGGTAATATCAATTTGTGAAAGTGGTAGTACCGGTTTCCTCCCTTGATCTTTACCGTCTTGAAGCGCCAGCGCTCTGTTAACGGCCAGTTGTGTGAACCGGCCCATTAGTGACGGTACGGTGGCGAGAGAGCGTTCATTATGTGCAATCAGCATCCTACTACGCTCTTCGGGGTCGCGTCCGAAGCGAGTGTCGAAGTGAAGCGACTTGAAGATGTCCTGACCGTTTGAGTGAAGTGGCGCACGAAGGATTGCAGCCTGGAGCGTAGCGAACATCAGTTGTTGTTGCAGATGCACCTCCTGGAGCTTAATATGTGCCGCCTCGGTCACAGCAACTTCGCGCTTTTTAAAGGCGGTACGCTGCGCTGTGATCAACACGCGCTGGTCTGGTAGCTGTTTAGTCCATTTCAACTGTAGACCGTGAAGTTTTTCTTCCATGGAGGCTACTTCCGCTCTCAGTAGCCGAAGTTCATGGGTAGCAGTGCGTGCTGTTTTGTTGGCAACGCGTGGCCTACCGCGCGATTGGGTTCCTACTTTAATTGCAGCGATGATGTCTTCATTGGTTAGAGACGCTCGTTGTCGCTTTTTGGGAGACTGTGTTGGAGATTCTGCGTCGGAGCACGTCGGGCTCATCTCGGGAAAAAGGTCCATCAGAACCATGGCTTCTACTAGAAGTTCCAGGACGGTAGGCGGTGACGCAGTTTACTGTAGGCTCCGTTGGACGTCGATGCACGAGCTTCGCGGCACAGGAGGAAATTGTTGAACTGTCCTTTGTACTGACGCACGCTGGGTTCGCCTGTCCAAAGTTTCGACTCCAGCGCACAAAAATACCGGACATGCACCGGTATTGAAACTTGTACCGTTACTGTAATGGAGATTTAACGTACAGTACAGTACCGGTACAGTACATGTACGACGCAGAGTAGTAACACGCTTACAGTACATGCATTTTCATATGGGTGGAAGCCACACCCGATCCCTCCACGCATCAAGTCTGAGATTCTAAGATTCATGTATCGTCATGTTCGGGAAAGCGTAATTGGAATGTGAAAGGCGGGAGCCCCAGAGTCCAGACTGGAATCTTCGAAAATCTTAACATTAACCTGTTGCTCAACAACGTATTCAGATATAATACTAAAGTACATGGAAGGTATGCCGAGAAAGCTGAATTCACTTGCATTGTGTTTTATGATTACACAAAGTATTCCACCCTGGGTGGAAGTGGTTTCTTGAGCTCAGGTAGCTGCGAACAAATCGAAATCGGAAATAGCAAGAGCGATTGCGCTGCCATAGTGCACCACTTAATGCGCTTTGATCGTGAAGCTGTGCTTTGATCGTGAAGCGCGTGTCTGACTGTATCTAAAGCAAGGATCTAGATTCTATTACAGTAATACACTCGGTATCGTCAAATTATTCATATTTTTTCTTAGATTTGCTGGACAAGTTGCTTGTATTTAAAAAAAATGAGATTGATCATTACATGAACCGCTTCAACATGGTCGTTTGCTGTGATTGTTTAATGTTTTACTGTACTAAAGTGCTGAAAGTCTCTGGTTTGCCGGGCTGAAGTTTTCTTTAGTCCGACTTAAGTCTCTTTGTTTCAGAACCAGAACGTCAAGCTATTTGTTGGAGGTGCAAAGCGTAAGAGTACGAGGGGTAGTAATACAGTACTACTATAGTAATACATGCATTAGTAGTACTTGTTTTAATTCTAATACCTGGAGCGAATAAATGATAAGCTTGGAAAGAAATTTTTTAAACTCACGGAATTTATGTTAAAAACTCTACCAAGCTGAGTACATGTATCACTAGTTTTTTTATAAATCTCGAGTGACGTCTTCTTTACTAGCGCTCGTTTGGGTAGAGTACGCTTCGTCGGAACACTTACAGCTGCAGATATGACAGCGCTCTTCTTTGCCATCGAAAAAGTTTTTAAATAGAAATGGTGTGCCAAAAAATGGGTAGAGGGTATTAACTTCCTTTGTAGCTTACTTGAATTAAATACAAGTAAGTCTTAAGTCAATACCCTGTACCAATACTTGGCACGACATTTAAAAAGTATTATTAATACTAGCTAACAACTTATTTATTGTGTTATGTTCATATATTTGAAGTGGAGCAGACAAGCTCTGGCTGCTAGACCCTTCTAAATTAAAGAGCACGTACTGCATGTAAACGTATAATAGTACACTGTATTCTAACCCTTTAGCTATTACATGTTGATAGATTATCTGAGGACTCCTTTTAAGAGCGATGCCCAAATAGAAAGCACCCGACTTTTAAATTTTTTTAAAAACAATGAAACGCATTACATGTACTGTACTACATGTACAGTTAAAAAAGATAGGATTGATAATCCTTTTAAGTGATAAAAATTATAATAGGAGTCCTACCAGGAATTTAGGAAGCTTCAGTGGCCTTTGTTGCGGATTGTTTCTGCTGAATGAAGGTACACACGGACGCCGTGATGAGGTCACCGTTTAGAATAGGTCGGACGATTTCTAGGTCCTCCTTAACAGCGGGGTCACACGGCAGCATATTGTAGCGGTACACGACCACCCAACGCATCGTCACAGAAGCGGTTTTCCCCGTCACAGGCTCTTTCCGAGGAGTTATGGTGAGACCGCAGATTCCGTACTGCGACGATGCTAGTTCAGACACTGGGTGCAGAGGATCCTCCATCACAGCGTCGATGTGAACCATGCCGTGTGATGCAGTAAGATCCGAGCAGACGATGTTGTTCACAGTCGCTGGCACTCCAGAGCCGTTGAAAGTTGAGCGGCGGTAAACCACAGAAGATTCTGCATCGTTCAGTCTCGTCCGCTTCGCTTCAACACCGAAATGCTTCTTCATCGACACCGGAATGGCGTCGAAGTACGCTAGCACAGCCGCATACACCTCTTCCAACGACGTGTGTGGGATCTCTGAGATGAACACGCTCGATATCAACGTGCAGTCTTTGCACCCAGTGATCTCAATTTGAGACAGTGGCATCACGGACTTCTCCTCGGCTGCTTCGCTCTGCTTTGCCAACGCCTTGTTGATGGCCAATTTGCAGAACCTTTTAACAATCGAAGGTAGCGTGGCGAGGGACCGCTCGTTGTGCGCTACGAGCATCTCCTCTCGCTCCCCCGTTTCCCGCCCTAGCTGCGTGTCAAAGTGCAGCGCCTTGAACATTTCTTCCCCGCTTGAGTGTAGTGGAGCATGGAGAACGGCGGTTTGCAGCGAAGCGAACAGAAGCTGCTGCTGTCGAAGTAGACGTTGTAGCTCAGTGTGCATCGTGTCGGACCGATCAGCCGCGTGCTTCTCGCGAGCAGAGTGCTGCGCGGTGGCTAGCGTGCGTTCGTTTGGAATCTGCCTAGACCACTTGGACTGAAGGCCTTGAAGTTCTTGTTCCATGGACGCCACTTGGGCTCTCAGCATTCGGATCTCTAATGTGGCGGTGAGAGACGGTTTAGTCGAGGTTCGCGGTCTGCCACGCGGACGAGTGGTGCCTTCCGTGAGTGCAGAGATAACCTCTTCGTTGGTATCGGGGATCTCGCTCAGACGGCGACGCTTCTTGACAGCGTGTGCGCTGGTACCAGGTTCAGGGCAACTGCGGGCTCTACTGGAAGAGGAGAGTCTTGGAAGGGGGGCCATGACAACCATAGGTACTGGGGTGCGTGACTAGGCTGCTGGAGAGGAATCGAGGTATACGCTACGTGAACTTTGTTCACAAGCCAACGAGGCAAATCTCGACTGTAGTGCTCCAAGTTGTCTCTCCTCTTGGCTGCTTGAAGAACGAGCGGAGACACTCGCGCCTGTTTTTCGGTGTTTACCGTAAACTTTACGCGGCTGGTTTTCAGCGAACTGCTTTGCCGTGTTTCCCACGCCCCAGCCTCCACGCGCATCTCACAATCCTGCAGCACCACCGAGTCGCGACTCACGACCCGTGACACTTGATTCGAAACAGAAGCAGCAAACGTCACATGTACGGACAACAGTTTTTTTTAAGCTTCACTTGCGTATGTACATGTGAATGGTACAGGTCATTAAAAGTAAACGACTGCCACTCCCTGTATTTACAAACAGGAAATGTTGGCGCGCACACGTTGATGTTGCCTTTAACAAACTTGATCTTGTGATACAGTACCGGTACAGTACTGTAGGATTCCAAACGTGTTTGAAGTTTGTTCGTGATGCTTAATCCAAGCCTTGGACGGTGCATTTTAAAAGACGGAGCTGCCCTGCTACTTCAGAAATATCAAGTGACACCAAATTTGCAATCGGGTTCATTCCATTTTTAAATGGGAAGAGCTTGTTTTAGCATTTGGAGGTGGAATATTAAAATAAGTTACCTCTCCAAATAGACCATAGAGAACACAGATTCGGGCCATGCTACTAATACCTTCCGATCATTCCGACCCAGCACCATAAGTTGGCCTGATAAACTTTGGCTGATACAAAAGTGAAGAGCACTGTTGCACCCTTTTTTACATTTTCTACTCAATGTCTAGAAATTGACTGCTTGCCAATACTCACAAACTGAAGAAACGATGAGATCACCGTTCAGAATAGTTCGAATGATCTCCAGCCTTTTCGCGAGTACCGGGTCATCAGGTAGAAACTTGTTGTGGTACAAGACTAGCCACCGCGGCGTCACCGACAAGATCTTTCCTGTCACGGGCTCCTCCGTAGATTCTGAACTTTACCGACATGCAGTGGCCGTTTGAGGTTCTTCTAAATCTGCAAAAACCAGAGTAAAACCTTGCTGAAATAGCTGGGTAAATTCCTTCTACCCAAGGTAGAATTTTTATTCAAGTCCTTATCTATTAATACCTAAGACCTGCTATCAATTATTAATACTTACAGGATTTGCGTCCCCGTGGCGTACCTTGTGCACGCTTGCTTCACATCAACTACCGGCTGCGACCCTATGGCCCAGTTGTTCCCCCTCGAAGCCCTATCTATACTGCACCAAAATTATCGCTTTGAGGGCTGGACTCTTGAAGATACCCGCATACCGCGGAGGTGATTAGATCACCATTTAGAATAGGTCTGATATTCTCCAGCTCCTCCCGAATAATAGGGTCATCTGGCAACAGGTTGTAGCGGTAGACCACTAGCCACCGCAGTGTCACGGAGGTGACCTTGCCTGTCTTTGGATGTACCCGCGGGGTAATCGTAATCCCGTTGAGCCCAAATTCCACCACATTTGTCGACGACACGGGATTCAACGGATCGTCTGTGATAGCGTCGATGTGGAACATACCGTTCGAGCTCGTAAGCTCCGAGCACAAAATGTGGTTCACTGTTGCTGGTTGGCCACCACCCTCCAGATTTAATCGCCAATACACCGCTGGAGACTCTGCGCTGTTGAGTCTCTTGCGCTCGGCGGCAATGCCAAAATGGCGCTCCATCCACGCTGGGATGTCGTCAAAATATCTCAAGATGGCCGCGTGCACGTTCTCCAGAGAGGTGTGTGGTATCTCAGTGATGAAGACGCTCGAAATGAGGGAGAAGTCTTTGCAGCCCGTGATGTCGATCTGGGACAGCGGCGTCACGGGTTTGTCGAGATCTGCACCCTTCCTATGTGCGAGGACCTTGTCGATCGCGACTTGCGCAAATTTGTCCACGGCGGACGGCAGCGTGGCGACGGATCTCTCGTGATGCACCAGGAGCGCTTTCTCACGTTCGCCTGGGTCACGACTGAGTTGAGTGTTGAAATGTAGAGTCTTGAGTATTTCCTTCCCACTTGAGTGCAGAGGCCCATGGAGGAGGGCGGATTGCAGAGTGGCAAACATCAATTGCTGCTGGAGAAGAATACCTTGAAGCTTGTTATGCGTGGCTTCTGTCTGGATGACTTCACGCTTTTCGCGGGCGGATTTCTGTGCGATGGCCAACGTCCGTGAGTCCGGAAGCTGCTCCGTCCACTTGGTCTGCAGCTTCTGCAGCTCCTCTTTCATGGACGCTACTTGAGCTCTTAATTGACGGATCTCGTGTGTAGCACTAAGCGGCGCTTTGCTGGATGCGCGGGGTCTGCCACGCGGACGAAGCTCAGTAGCTGGTATGAACTGACGGATAAACTCGTCGTGAGAGGAACGAGGTCGCTTCTTAGCGTGATTATCCAAGTCCGTGTCCGAGGACCTGATCGGCGAGGACATTGGCGATCGTGCAGTGGTGTCAAGACACTAGACTCTTGTCAAGAGGTCCTGGATTGAGAGGGAGACGACAACAGGGGATTGAATTGTGATAGTACGAAGAGAGAAAAGGTTGGCTATCAAACAAACTTCACGCAGCTGTGCGCCTATCTCCGACACAAACCGCCAAACCAACACGGCATAAGGATCTGAGGCGCTCAGGTGGTTTTGCGGTCGAGCGATTACGATACGAGGCTTGGGGGATTTATTATATTAATACCAAAATTCTTGTACATAACAAGCCGATGCGACAAGGCAGATACTCTTCTACCTACTCGGATGCAATCCTTTGTCGCTGCTTGTCAACAATCTCGCGAAATTCCCGTGCACAAGCCCAGGAACAAGCAAGCGTACGCGTTGAACGTTCGACTCGCCTTGAAATAATCTTCTTTCTGGTAAACACACATGCGAATCTACATCCCACGCCGATCCAGTATGAGTGCTGTCGCCTTACATGCTCTCTACCATTTGGGCCTTCAGAAAAAGCTAAGCAATACACTGCCGCAACTCGTGCTATAAACATGAATTAATAGAAGTGCATGGACATAGGGCAAACACAAACACGCTCTAACTCTCTGTAACAATGTCTTACCTCTGGTCCCTAAAAGGCTAAAATTTACTCCTGGAGTACATTTACTCACCAAGTATTCTAGCATACATGTAACGGAGATAAGTTTATTTTGCCTTAACCCGGATTTAAAGGTTTGGTAAATATCGTTTCCGATCTCCAGAATTGAAAAAAAATTATTTGCACACTCCCGGAAAATTACATTAAACGACTTCCAATTCTTATCGTTTACGATGCGGTTTTGGCACGGGTACTGAAGGTGCCTCTAATGCGCCAAAGCTCGCACTCTTGAGAGTAGATCACATAAAAAGAACGATTTTGCCCCTTCTCTACACAAAGCTATCTGCATGTAAAAAAAACGAAAGTCTTGGTATAATAAAAGACACCAGACTAGGCATTTGTTTCGGGCTCGTACATCACTCATAATATTATTAATGGGCACAGCGAGAAGGGAACATAAAATAATTGGTCTAAAGCTCACGAAGATACCGTCCCTGTGACGGGGTCACACAGCACCTTGCGCTAGAGGAAGTTAGCTTCCGAGAGTATACAAACTCTCAGTGAACGGCAGTTCACAGGTCCTCTCTTTATTTAAAAGAGAGCGAAGTGACCTAATTAAGGTAGAATGTAAACTGAGTATATTTGAAGGTAGATTAAAGCTTGGGCTTAATACAAACTTTAAGTCACCTATAGAAATGCAATGTCATCAACCAAGGGTTGGCTATGGACGACCTTGGTTCCTTGTACCAAATATCCCGAAGTATGACGTGTGACGTGTCACACTTCATGTAGCTAGGGGTACACTTAGGGCTACATACCCCGTTATATCCTCCCCCACTTAGGTTCGATTTACCGACCAATCAGAATGAAGAAGTGTTCGTCACAAACTATCATTCTCAAAGTCGAAAACCATCGACTTGGCCGCGCGGGCGCGGCGGAGGCTCACTTCACAGTTAGAGCCTCGAGCAGCAGTCTGTGCGCTCTTCTTCTAGGTCTCCACTTCGACCGTTTACTATGCCTCGTGGCACTGCAAAGAGCGATGCGAAGACACGCTCCAAGGCTGCTGCTGGGAAGGCGCTAGCCAAGAGCACTAAGCCTCACGGCAAAGACTCGGCACTTAAGGAGGCTACTCAGGTGGCCTACGAGGCGATCGGTTCATTGGGCGACAAGGCTGTGGGCAAGCGAACAAGCAAGCGCCGCAGCCCGTCGCCCTCTGCCTCAGACAATCGTCCGAACCCTCTGTTCGTGGAACATGAGTTCGACTCTGGCAGTGAGGACGAAGCCGAGTCCGAGAGAACGCACGATGCTCCTGCGGGCTCTGTGGAAGGGAACAACCCAGTGCCAAGGACGACAGCGTGCAGTCGCTCGCTAGTGATCAAGGTGATCACAGTCCCAGGACGTCTGTGCGCTCTGAGAGTCCGGCCGTCAAGGATAAGGGCACTCCCAAAGCTGCTAGCGATGAGGAAGAGAAACCTCGCAAACGTCTCTTGCTTGCTGAGGGTCTTGCGCGTGCTAAGGCCTCTAAAGCCGAAGACGCCAAGCCCTTTAAGAAGCGTACAGCTTCTAAGTCTTCACTCCGCGAGGAGAAGGAGACTCGGCACTCCCATCGGGGCCTCTTCGACTCCTCGGATGAAGAAGATGAGAAGGAGGAAGAGGAGGAAGAGGCGGGTGCTATCGCTGAGGCCCGGGAGGTCACGAATGACCTCGACCAGCAGCAGGAGGATTTTTAAGGTGCCCAGCGTGTGCGTGGGGGTTCGGTGGTGGCACCCGTCAGCCAGGGAGCTGCCATCAACTCAGAGGGTATTGGCCTCCCGAGGAGATCTCTGGGGCTGACCTCTTCCTAGAGCTTCTCATCTCTGCTCGTGGCCTTGTGGGCGGCCACACTTCTAGGGGCATTTACGAACGTGCCCTTGCTCAGAAGGAACAGTTGTTCGTTGACAACTTGGAGGCTGCTCGGTGTGTGCTTCTCGCACCACACCGCATCCCCCTTAAGGACTTCACGACTTGTCGTAAGAAGCCAGAGACCCGGGGTGGTCTCTATCCTCTTTGGGGATACCCCTGGGCTCTGCCCGAGAACTGTCCCACTTGGCGCTCCTTTGACGACATGTTCTGGGCATGGGTGGAGTCTCTTAAATACTCACCCACGGAGTTGCGGGAACTCCGTGAAGATCAGCTGCTGTCCCGCATCCTGGACCAGCGTGATATTCGTGTTCGGTTTGCCCACTTGGTCAGCAAGCGCATGCTGCCAAGGGACACCCTGAAGCGTGCGACTTCTAGCGCTCACGATGAGCGCGGGTACGGAATGTATTCAACGTCCGTACCCCGTTCGGGCAAGAAGCCCCGGACTACTTATGAAGCTGCCGCCGCTTCTGTTCCCAGATTGCGACAGCCTTTGGGCAGTCAATCAGGAGCCGTTCAATCGGCTTTCACGAGTTCTCGGAGTGGGCATAACCCCTCCACTTCACGAGGAGCTGTCGCTTACCGCGACGTCATTGCTCCTAGAGAATTCGCACCACGTGGAAGTGGACTTCTCCATTCCGGTCAAGCAGGGGCGGAGGTGCCCTCGTACGAGTACGAGTACTCGGCGCCTCCCGGACGCCACTCTCGTTCGAGTGCTCCGGCTGCGGGTCCGACACAGGGCCCTGAGATTGACCGTCTCCGTCAACGTTTCCTCGTGCTTGAGATTGCACTTGGCCTGGGGACTGGCGGTGATGCTGCCGCCCAGGCCGGATATCAGGGCGAGCTTGCTCGTCTTGCGGGCCGCCTGGACTTGTTGGGGCGAGAGGTCGCGAGCCTGCATCTGCAAGTGGATCGCCGGGCCTCTTCGTCCGATCTGGACAAGGCCTTTTGCATGATCCGACGGATCGAGGATTGGGTGCCTGCTTCAACGCCCTCGTCGACGTCTGTGACCGGCCCTCGCTTCGAGGAGCTGGGCAAGGTGGGTCTGCGAGTCAGCAACCCCCTGCGGATTATAGTACCGCTTAAGACGTCCAACATATAACGTCGGGTGCGTCGTCATTGACTTAGGCAGGTCGATGATGTACGACGCACCATGTCTGGCCAGGACTGCAAATGAAGCGGTGCTTCAGCTTGTTGCTGCTGACAGAGCTGACAGTGTCAAGAGGTAGGTTCCTCGTGTCTAGTAACACTAAGCCCCCCCCCACTTTAAATACACTTAAGTTTCCTCTTCCATGTTTATCGGAGTACTCCTTTTGTCTATCCTGGGCCGCTGACAGTGCATCGCGGATCCTGCTGACAATGCTCAGCTTGGTATCCATAAGGATTCCACTTGTTTCCGCAGAGAAACAGGTCTCACATCCGAGACCTGGGAGGAAAGGGCTTTCCGAGCCTCTCCCCCACTTAGAATTGAGGCGTCGGTGTCTCCACGAAGAGTGAGAGGCACTCTGGGGTGACGGAAGCCGTTCAAGAATAACGGCGTGAGCCCCGTGGACGCGTGCACCGCGTTGCTGAGCGCAAACTCAACAACAGGAAGCTGCGTCGACCACGTACGTGGTGCTGCCGCGCTCACATGTCCTCGAGCACTCGATTGACGCGTTCCGTCTGCAATTCTATCTGCGGATGGTCCACAGTGGACATCTGTAGACGAGTTCCCAGTAAGGGAAACAGTGCTTTCCAAAACGCAGCCGTGAACCGCGGGTCTCGGTCCTAAACGATCGTCTCCGGGAGACCGTGACAGCGGAACACGCCATCGACGAACAACCTTGCGGTTTGTTCGCCCGTAACAGTGACGGGAACCGGAGCAAGATGTACCATCTTGCTCAGCCGACACACGAACACCAAAATTCCGGTGTTGCCGTGTCCGTCGGCGGGAAGCCCAAAGATGAAGTCTAGACTCATCGACTTCCAACAGTCAGCTGGAACGGGCAGGCTCTGTAGCGGAGACGGAGAGTGCCCTGCATGTTTGACCCGCTGACACGTTTCACATGTCTTTACGTATTGGGCGACCCACGTGTACATGTGGGTCCATCAGAAGGCCTGAGAGACCGACAGAAAGGTCTTACCGCGGCCCAAGTGGCCGCTGGGGGGCGCGTCGTGCGCCTCCGCGAGGATATCGAACTTCAGATCCTCGTCGTTGGGTACGACCACCCGTGGAGGATCATCGGGCCCCACCCGGTAATAGAGGAGGTCATCCTTCAACTCATATCGGTGGAGCCGTGAGCGTTGTTGCGACGAGAGC